GCCAAGACCTGGTCAGGAGGTCCTCAACGATGGCCTGTTTACAAGGCAGTGCATAGGTGGCAGTTATTTTACGGAAATGAACGCCATGCCATTTCAAACCCCCAACCTAGAGGACCAGGAGACTGAGTTTGTCTGACTTCTTACCATTGATCAGGGGAGCCGCAGGCACCACCGAGTATAGCTCAATGGGTCGAAGAGGTACACAACCGTCGCACCACGTTTAGAATCAGCCTCCTTTCGACATAGTAGCTGTTCCTACTCTCATTCCCCGGCTCTTCTTTATAAGTAGTCGACAACTTCGTTTACCTTCTGAGTTGCACTTAAATGAGCGGATTGGCTCATGAGATCAATTTACACATCTGTCTATTTTTTGTTGTACCCATGTGATGCGACACTGTCAACCGTCTCTTATCCAAGTGTTAAAGATTATATATATATATATATATATATATATATATCATCACGGCATGTTCTTTGTTTTAAACCATCAAGTGCGTCCATCTGAAACTGCTGCTTATCCGAAACCTCATCTGTAACCTGTAACTTTCGTTTCGGATGTTCGCTTCAGATCCGATGTTGAGTTCAGCATCCCAGAGCGTCGAACAGCATGCCACACTGTGTAGCCTAGAGATAACGAGCTTGTCTTATAATCTTACGGCGTGGGTTCGGGCCTGCGTAGGCGGACCCAAGAGGGATCTTTCCGGCATAACCACAGAGTTATGTGCTGCGGTTACCGGATGTTGGGCTATTTATTGTGTACATCGGATGGGCAGACCCGTAGTTATATACTCAGTGAATCCACTTACTTGGATTTATCTGTACGTACAGTGGTGTGCTGTGGTCTAGGCACTTGATTACTCCACGCTCTTTTCTGCTCTGTAAACTATTTTTGGGCTTGGTTACTAAGAGACAGTATTAACTGCTCGGTCGTGCCGACTGTTGACGCCTACTGGTTTCGATTGGTGGCGATTTCATCTGTCAGCGGTAGTGTCACCTCCTTGGCAGGAATCGTATATATGAATGTTTGGCTCTTCCGTACATGGCTGGCAGAGGTCTGGATAAGTGTGTTTCTTATCGCTTCGTTTCCGAGTGCAAATAAATAAGTTTCCGGATAAGCGGTACACAGGTTAGATTCAGATAACCTAGCAAGCAAAATGTGAACTGTAATCCATTTTGAACATTGTTCAGTGATTTCAACTCACAGCACCCTATATCAGCAGCTCAGCAAAGGTAACAAATCATAAGGGTCGCCATACTCTATACATAAATACTATATACTGTAAGTATGCAACTCACTTGATGTCACTGGAGGGCGATGATTCTCTATCACTACAAATGTGGTTTAAAGCAGCACCAGGGTGTTGGGTGATCGCAGGCTACGTTTGGTGATGATACGCCTTCATAAACAACCTTGTCCAAGTGATCTGCGTAATCCAAAAATGGCAGGCGGTCTCTAGATGATGAGACACGGTGTGGTCGACCTGTAGATGCCACCACCGCGGACAACAGCGACGCTATGCAAGCGATCCTAGAGGAGTACGCGCAGGTGATTGTGATAGAGCTGGAGAAAGCCATTGGGATCTCATCGGGATCAATTCGCACCATCCTACATGAGAACCTCGGTCTCATAAAGGATGCGCACGCTGGGTACCCCATCGACTGTGTGAGGACCAGAAAGCAGCTCGGGTGAATTGGTACCGCACCATGCCTACCAGGTTCGATGGTGGACGTTCCAATGCTGTTTGGGTGGTCCTCAGTGGCGATGGAACCTGATTGTACAGTTTTAAATCAGAGCCTAAGTAGCAGTCGGCTCAGTGGACTGCCGTTGATGGGACGCCCTCTCAGAAATTCCGGTGTGAGCGCAGTATGGCTACGCAGATGGTGAACGTGTTCGTGGCCAAGACCGGTCATGTGGCTACTGTACCGCTCGTACGACAACGCACAGTCACCGGAGGCTATTATACCACCCACTGTCTGCCACAAGTGCTGGAAGCTGTAACCAGGCGTCGTCCAAGGACTCGAGCATGATGGACCTTGTTGCACCATGACGACACGCATGCACACAGGTCCCATGTCATCGTAGATTTTCTGGCTAGAGAACGCATCCAGCTGGTTGCTCACTCATCCTACAGTCTAGACTTTACTCCGTGTGACTTTTGTGCTCACAAATGTCAAGCGCGTGATGTTTGGAATCCCCAAAAGCCACAGGCTTTTATTGAGCTCCTTGGAAGGTAGCGCGCTTCTGCATGGTCTAGCTGCTTCTCCAAATGGTTTGAACGCATGAAGAGTACTTCGCGAAAATGTAGTGGTTATATCGTTGTGAAAAATAAAACTTTTTGTGGATCCGGAAACTCGTTGCTTTATCCTCGTGTATGATCAGCGAAATTTCTCGGTAACCAGGAAGCCAGACAGTCAGTCACCGCTCCCCATTGCTTAACACCACGTTCGGTCTTGCGTGCTTCACGTTGATGCTGACTATGATTGACAACATCTGTTCAGGCGACAAACTGGATGAAAATATACATTATGTCATTTGCGAACCTAGGAAGTAACTTTTCATCTTTGATTACTAATGACAGATCACTACATTTTCCCTTAGAACCAAACGTCACATTTATCCGCTTTTCGGATCTTGTTGGTTCCCTTCAGTTATCGCACGCCGTGTTATTCCACACGTCGCCTTGTGGTCACCGCACTGGGAACCGAGCACATCAACGAGGTTGCCACATTCCCTGGGTTCCTGTATTGCTTATGGTCTGTTTAGAAACCGCACAATCGTGTCTGGGAAGCTGCATCTCAGTTAGTTAACGTTCGGATGCTAGGTAGCATCGGCTATACAACCTCGTAAATCAATATCCTTTCACCATTGGATCATTGAACACACGATCGGTGTAACCACAGAGTCATTCGAAACCACGACAAATTCTCGTAATGCACGCGACTCTGGTCGGTGGTGCAATTATGAAGTACCAAACTAATAGTTAACAATCTGTGATCTGCCGCTACCTTTTCGCCGCGATATAATTATCCCGCGAGATAGGTTGGTGATATGAACCTAGATCCTGTGCGTGCCTGGCATCACACTGCAAATATTGCCAACTACTCTAAGCAACGATGTAACTTTTATTCTTTCATCCAACTTGTCTACCTCAGATTTGACACATCCTTACGTGTGAGGCAACAGTATCCCTTCTCAGAACTCAACATAGACCGTAGTTACCACTTATATGCTGCTGCACTGTTATTCAAGTACGTCATGCAACCTGGCCCGTTAGCCACTATGGAACCGTTTACAGTAGTGCCTTTCCACCAGTCCTCCGAACTTAGTCCGCCATATCTTACCCTGTCTCGTAATCAGGTGACCTTGGTTTATAATTTTTATATCACGGCTTCATTCGCGTTTTCCGGTCGTAGGTCTTTGAATCGGACAACAAGAATTGCGATGGCTGTCATTATTCATCTTTTTGTCATTCTTTCACCTCGCTACCTAGTTCATTCTTCTGGAGCTCTATTTTCAGAAATGTTTCCTTCAGGCTTAGTCCTTCTGTTCTCTGTCAACCTTGTAAAACTGGGCGCATGCCAAACGGTCTGCTTGTCTGTTGCTGCAGAACCTGGATTGCTATTTAAAGTGCTTTTCTCGAAATACTCATTTTCCGAGCTGATTTTCTTGTTATCAGATGTATTCGTAGCTCGACTATAGTATGGTGACCTTGGGTCTAAGCTTAGCCAGCATTTTCTCTAAGGCTTCGAACACAAACGTTTTCTTGTTACACCAGTACTCCATCATGTAGCTGACATTCAGCCCATTATTAATTGCGACTGGCTGTTCTACGTTTCTGCAGCTTCCTCACACATCAACAAAGTGTGCCGATTGTGTGGGAAATTCCGTTTAACTGTTTACTACTTACGTCTGCGCATTTTTGACCCAACCGTTCTGAGCAGTTAACTTTTCATGGCCCTGTTAAGAACACATTTTCATCTACGTGTTCTTCACCCATCCATCGTACCCGTATCTCTCTGTCCTCTACCTATGTGACGTGTTGGTTGTGCGACCTTGGCGTATTTTTTTCGGTGACTGTTGACCCCAACCGCTATGTGGGCTTTTGATCCACCAATCTGATCTAGGGACTTTGTTGATCCCTTATATGAATGTAGTAGTGATTGTAAGAAATCCCATCACCGGGTTTAGTACTTACACTTGTTGCTATTATTCCGTTCATTGCTTCGAACCATCACTGATGTACGCACTAAGTTTGTTCCAAGAGTTGTTCTACTGTATTATACCCCGGAAAGATTCTTGCTTCTCCCCTCTATGTAGCTTCCTTTCTTGGTGGAAACCATGCTAACTCATTACCATCAGCAGTCGTCCTTTCCACGTTACAGAGCTTCTTAATACATTTTTGCTGGTTTATCCAGTGACTGTTTTTTCCCTAACAACATGATCATTCTGGTCGACTCTCGATGTAGGCACTGTGTTGTGTGTCATACCAGTGGGGGATGACCGCATTTAATCATGCAATAGGGACTTTGTTTCCTTGCGTGATAGAGAGATCTGGTGTCCGTTCGACTCTTAAGCTATCTCATACTTATTACAGAAAACCCCTTATGACCAATGCAGAATACGCGGAATCGTTGTTACCCTTCGGAGTATAAAAGCTTGCCCACCAACTGACGCTACTTCACCTCGAAATTCGCTCTTATTGCCTTCGATGTCACTAATAGAGACTGCAGCGTTGGTCCCGGATCGCTATCGCGGCTTTGGAACGGGAGCGCTCTCCTCTTTGCGCGTCCGATGGTATCGCTTACGAGGAGCATCATAGGCTTTCATTAGTTCAAAAGTTCATAGGTGTTGTCGCCTTGGAATTCACCTCATCGGGCTTGTACATATCATGCTTGTCATTTTTCCGGATTTATCCCTGTTTTCTTCCATAAACTTGCGTCACTGGTATCAATGTGGTTTCAATATATATATGTATATTCTCACTTCTTTTCCGTTTTAGTCCGAAACGACAGCCAACAACCGCACTTCACGAGTGTTCACTCTGGTGAAAAACTTTGAACAAACATGTTGATTGCCGTTTGCCTCAGGAGCGACGTCTTCCATGGGCTCTTCGTAGCCGTCTGCTGGACATCAAATGTTCATCCATTTGATTCCCACACTTATCTCACAATAACTACGTCATCTTAATCCCGCTGCCCAACCATGCACTCATACTTGCGCGCCATTCCCCCTGACGATGTCATGCATCCAATCGTACTGCCTTCTCTCAACCAGATTTGTCCCCACTTTTCTATCGATTTTCATCGCTTTTGTGATTCCAACAAAATCTCCCTACCATCCGCGTGCTCCACCGGAGTCATGTCCATCCACCAGAATTTTATACTACCCGCTAAGACCCGTTCCTCTCTATCCCCTGTTCCATCCAAGTGTGTAAATTTCCGCTTGTTTCTTCCAAATCTTCGACATCGTCGTTACAAATACCCACTGTCACATGCACACTTGTGCACCAAGCGTTGATCTACCGTTTACTCTGAATTTTACCTTCACATCATGACCCTCCGCCCTCCTCATCGCCAACACCTTATCCCTGACTACACTTGTGCCTTCACCAGAACCTCTGTCTTATTCAGTAGCTGTTTCTGTACTCATTTCACGCGCCTATTTCACCTTCGGATACCTTTGTGATGATTTTTCCAAATTGCATGTTTGATTTCAGCCGCTGTTTTGGTTTACTTCCACTTTTATGCCCCCGTCATCATCCCGGGCTGTTGTGCTCGCGGTTGTGAATTTTCACAAAAGATTGAATATTCGCTAGTTCCTTTACCTACGTCTTCAATCAAATTCATCGCCCTACGTTGTTTCGTGCCTAGCTTCGGAGACAACGGCGTAGGTAGCTGATGCTATCTTTACGAGTGCAACTGGGTAGTCAGATCACTTTACTGCATGATCCAGGACATTAGGTCAGACCTTTCCTAGCTACAATACCTCGATGGGGCTTCCAGATGCTGGCATATATGATGATCTACTCTATCCAGCTAAGCGGAGATTACTTCTTCGCGGACGACCCTATTACTTTGAGACTAGATCTTGGCATCGTGCGATGATATGTAAACCCCTTGGTCCATCGAATTACGTTGAATGGCACTTTCCAAGTATCGTTGGAGACATTTCTTTAAGACTGGTCAGTACTTAGCAGTCTAACAGGTTGTGTGTAAGAATCCGCTTCATTGGAAATCGAGGAGCGACCGGTGGTCCTCCTTTTATATTCTATCCGCGGAATGCAACAGTTCCCAGGTATTCTTTCGTTTCGAAAGGCGTATAGCATGAGTACTACTTGGAATCATCCTCTTGGTTCATTGGCTTGGGAGTACTCTCGTCATGCTTAGACGAAAAGATGCAAGTTTGTCAGAAGTTATTCGTTGACGACCGCGGTTGCAGAAGAATCGTAGAATAGGGTCGAAAAATCTACATGTAATACCCGTGATTTTCAGCGTCTGCTTGCGGCCGGTCTCGAGCAGCTCCCAATAGGACACTACATGTGCACCCGTATGTTTGACTCGCTCCCGGTTCCTTTTCAGTGTACCGAGCCGGAAGCCCTAGTAATCAGCTGAAAAGTGTCGTCTGCCCACAAACCATCACCACCAGCGATCTTTCTCTTCTCTTATCTACATTCTTAAGTTTCCAATTCCATTGTCAACTAGTAGTGGGCCGCCATGGGCTTTGTTATCCACGCTAATACGATAAGTATGCTTACCTTCAGACCTGGATTGCTATTCTACATTGGGTCTTTCAGCATTCACAACCAAAGGGCTCCCCTTAGAATGAATACACTTCATCGGGGTTGGTGTGTGCTAAATCTCTTGATCACATGGCAGCAATGTCCCAGCACATCTGAGCTCACCAAACTCGGGATTCCATAACGGGACTACATGTTTCACATCTCCGTTGGCGCTGTCGATGACTAACTGCAATAAAATCTCAGCAGACTTTCAGACTGATCTACAGTGGATTCCAACGAGCAACTGCATATATGAAATTCGACCTCGGGGTCCAATACATAATTAACAGCAACTGCCGAAAGTGAGGTATCTTCGTTTCGACTAATTCTCCCACCAACCGCAACCAGGACTCCTGCGAAATTCTTTTCTTATAACCGAGTCTTCTACCATCGCGACCTTTGCATTCGACATGAATGCCCAATTCACTCACCCGTCTGCATCAGAGCACTGCCTCAATAATCATTTCGAGACCGATGTTTATCGCATTGACATGTACAACCACTTTCTTCAGATACGGGCAACCGAAATTGCGCTCTTTAGGTCTCAACTGATCGGATGCTGGAGACCTGGGAAATTGATTTGGTCTGCGCCATGGGACCAACCTTGTGTTCTAATTCCTTTTTCGCAGTGATGAAAGAAACGCTCCTGTGGGCAAAAAAGGGACCTGGTTCCTTATCAGTCACCTCGAATGGGAACCTGCGTTGAACATTGCAGAATAGTTCTACCCATGCGTGTGCCATAATTGTTTTGTTGCGGCCACCAGGTACGCTGATGCAATGTGTTCCGCCACTGACGAGATCTGGCATGAACGAATGCCACTGATTTTGATAACGTTACCTGGTCCCGAGCAATTCCCATCATCCTTTCTACTCACTTGTGGCTGTTCTAGTCGCTTTGTCCTGTAATATTTGGCGAAACAAAGATGTCCCACCTGATCGGTTGTTTAAAATTGCTGTTCCTGCGTCCAGAGGGCATCATTAGCGGGGCTTTCAAATCAGCCGTTATTGTTTCTCCTTGGAGTACCGCCGTGTCGGTTAGCAAGATGGATTCCGACGCTGTCCTATAAATAAAGCGCGAATTTCACTAACTTTCCTTGGTATAATTGCTGCCCTCAGTTTGTCTGTGCAGCGTAAGGCATATATACACGCAGGCACTATAACACTACGAGAATTCGGCTACATCCTGATGTGAAGGATAAGGTTAATCAACTCGATGGATACCGTGTCGTAAAATCCGACTGTTTTGGAAAGCCGCAAAATCGCACAGGAGGCGCTATCACGTCAGTCAGCCATCGGATTATTCGGTACTGTTGCCGTTAACATATTCACTCAAAAGTTTGCGGTCATCTACTCGGATGTAAACAAAATTTTCGGACTGGAAATGTTTCTGTTGTCATTAGAATCACCTGTGGTTGGCAGCATCCTATTCCGGCTTTGCCTGTCGCTGCGGCCTAGATAGGACAGCCTCAGGACACCTCGCCTACAGAGGGACCATGGGTGATTTGCGCTGCACCACCTTCGGCTCCATCAAAGTACCCCATATCCAGTGTAAACCCGAAGGACTAAGACCGGGAGTCATGCGGATGGAAGCCACGTCTCATCAACAGAGCCGACCCACAGACTAACATACACAGTAGCAGCATTCCTATCTAATTGGGGAATCATGCGTATCAGTTGTGCACAAGGAGATGGCTGGGCTGTAGGCGGTCCCGTACACTGGACGGAACCACTCTTTCATCCTAGCATGGTCTTGGGGATCCAAGCAGTGACTTTCTCCTGGAGCCAGTATAATCAAGATAGCGGTTTTTCGACAGAAAAGCACCTTCTCAACATTCACATCAAGCGCAGCCACACTGGGATTTCAATCAACGGCGGCACAATAACCGAGATGTTGTCCACCTCTAGTTAACGTGTATAATGATGAATCAACAGCCAACACCTTAAATCCAAGAAACTCAACACTTGGACACATATACAGACCAGCTGCAGCGACGATGTAGCACACGTCCTGCATCGACCGCATGATTGACCTTGGTTAATAAATGGATTCGGAAGCAGCGTGCTTTCCAAACTCTCCGCTGACGGTTATTGTCTAATCACCTGACTCGTTACCTCCCCGATATCCGCCCCACGTGATCACTGGTGACTTACCAGACCAGCTTGGCTCAGGCACTAGCAACCGCATATGCTACAGTACCATGCGCTTGACGTCGATGGGGTAGACTCCATCGGCGCCTGTCGCTTCCATACCTAGTGTTTCTCTCCGCGTGTAGTAGTGCCTTCTACTGTATCTGGACAACCGCCCTCATGATGTGGGTGTGCCATTGGGTATGAACTATTACGATTGACTCCCAACATCTACACTCAACATTAGTTCGTGATAAACTCACTTTTATCATGTCCTAGTAAAGTAGATCCGGTTTGCCCGCGTTCTGCCTCCCCGGTATCCCCTACGAATCCATGCAGCAGACATGTCCCAGCCACCGCAAGTACTGAGGCAGAAGTATGCAGTCCACTGCATACATGCCATATCGGTGGAGCAACTCCGTTCTGAAACTGTCGTATCAACCGGAAACTCCCTTATAACTCCTGTTACACCACTGTCCGAGATTAAGAATTTCTCCCCAGTGTTACTGTCCAAATTGAGTGCTGTGTCTGTCGTTGCTGGTGACTTTGACAAAAGTGATGCGGCATTCCTCAAGCTACATGGTTTAAAGATTACGGTTTCTTTCGAAACCAGACTTAACGCACTGTTATTTTCTGCTGTAAAACGGACTCTTCTCGGCAGCTCAGACCACTGCGTCTTGGAGCTTTTCTCAGTCATTTACAGCCCTCTAAAACCGTGACTGCTTGACAGCCGATATCACGAAACTCCAAGTGACGTTTTTTTCAACGGACTTTTCAGTTCTGTCGAAAGAAAATCTATCCTTGGTGTGTGAACACCTTACTGGATATATCAACTGTTTCTTTAATCTTAGCTGTCCTGTTGCAACTATCTAGTGTGAACAGGTTATCTTCGCCGCCGCTGAAGCAACTTAAATAAAAAGAGCGGGTCTATATGTTCCAAACGTCTGTTTAGGTTAAACGATCATCTTTGGCGATAAAAACAGAGATAATGCGACTGAATCGTTTATACCTTGAAATCGTATTTGGTAATCCAAACTATTGCGACCTTTAGAAGCTATATGGCAAAACTTCTGAAGATCGTTTTGATAATGTAGATGCGGACAGACTCAAAGCACAGGTATTTGGAGAACCTGTGCCCAAAAAGGAGTCTGGAAATTATCGTCCAATTGCATACACCTCGGTGATGTTGAAAGTCTTCGAAAGAATACTTGTCCCTCAGGTTTTCACACGTACGGAAGCAACCGATTTATACCAGTTTGCATATAGACCTAACCACTCCACAGTAGATACTGTCTTATCTTTTACATTCCGTAGCATCTGAGTGTATGAAAAATGCAGAACACTGCAACTACTATTTCTTGACCATTCAATGATACGATGGTGTATTACGGGTAAACAAGCAATCCATTACAAGTCCCGTGGGATGGAACTTATTGAGAAAATAAAAATTCGTGATAAAATGAAAAGTGTCTTGCTGTACTCACCATAGACATGCGTAGAAGAACCCAAACGTTCACGTGATAAAGGTGTGAATCCATAAATCCACTGGACAGAATTTTGAAAACATTGTTTGTTTGCGTTATGTTGCTCCCTGGATAACACAAGTTATAAAGTGAAATGCGATTAGGACAACCCTTCGTCAAGTCATTTTTTAAACATCGGTAGGTTGGTGGCAGAGACGACATAAGTTGCGAGAGCGTTCCACGGTTAACACTCGGAGAGAGAAGAAATTCCGCTGAGATTCCAGGGAAGCGTTGACGGATCAATCCTGCTCAACGAGTGTTCAGACAAATATCTGCACCTACTTCACCCAGCTTAACGGAGTAAAGTCCTCTATACTCTGCTCAGAACGCATGGTTTCATAGTGAGCGATCCTCTTCATATATCGAAAAACTTCCTATGGCCTCCAACTTTATTGGGTGTATATTTGCTGTTGATGTCGTTGTACTGTTGCGAAGATATCTTCCACTCTTCAAAGTGGTATGGATGCGTTTGTTATTTGGTCGTCGTCCCGGTCTCATTC